GGGTCAGGCAGGCAGGGGGAGGGATGAATCTGGGCGGGGCCAGTCGGGCAGTGGGGCGGGGGAGAAGGCCCTAGGGAGGGTGAATGGGGCAATGTCATTCAGGCTGGGAGACAAATAAAGGGGTGTGGGGTCAGTGGTGCTGGAACAGGGGAGAATGGAGTGGGGACAGTCAGGCTGTGGGTGAATGGGGGAGAGGCTGGGGGAGGAGGCTGAAAGTTGCATTTTCATGAAAAGATCACACTCCAGTACTTGTATTGGGTGAATTTAAATAGTGTTTCTTTTTTTTTCTTATTTACAGTGCAGAAATTTAAAAAATAAAGAGAAAGTTATCACTGTACACTTTGTATTCTGTTTTAATTTATACATTTCAAAATGTAGAAATCATCCAAAATATTTTGTAATGTGAGGCCTGATGTCTCCCAGTCATAGCATTTGATGTGGAAATGCGAATATCAAAGGCAGGGGAAATTGCATTTGTAGTGTGTTAACCAGTTAATATCCTTATTCAAAACCAAATTCAGCTGTTTCCCTTTGTAATCAGTTTTTGAAATTCCTTTGCAGAATGATGGTGACTTTTAAATTCATTGTTGAAAGTCCAGGGAGGTTAAAATGTTCCCCTACAGGTTTATGTGTGTTAACATTCCTGACGTCTGATTTGTGTCCATTTATCCTTTGTCACAGAAACTGTCCTGTTTGGCTAATTTACACGGCAGAGGGGCAACCTCATTCACCAGGTCAACCTGGGAACAGAGGCCAAGTGTCTTTATTCACAAGCTAGTACTGAACCCAAAGTACAGTCTTATTTGACTGAGTCCAAAGGCTAGCTGGCTTGGATTGGCAGTTTTGTCCTAATGTAAACATTGAAAGCTGTCCCCCCTTCTTGTACTTTGGTGTTATCCAGAAGACACTGTTGTAAACAATTTTGTTTAACTTAGTGCCTGGGAAAATGTGCTTCCTGCACAACAAAATTTTGATCTCTGGTTCTCTACATATGCATCCAGATGACAACAGCAGCAGGGTACCTATGTACACATGCTGGCTTTAACCAGCTCTCCCTTTCCAAAATAAGAGAAATCTGAGCCATCAGAATCCTTTTAAATAGAATACTTTTCATTCTTGCCCCAGCTGAGAGGACAAATGTAGATTTGAGATTCTTGATGCTAGATGAATGCCCCAAAGATCTTGTCTGAGTGCTCATTCTGACCTCTTTGTCATTGCAGATAAATGATCCTGATGCAGGACTGTGGACAGTGAGTATGACTTCAGCCTTTCCTAGCTGATGAAGAATCTGGAGTATTTTATGGGAGAGACTCTTAAATTCACTCCTTTGCTGCGCGTCTGCCCCCTTTTCTGTCACAGCCCTCTTGTGAAAGGTTTGCAGTGGCGTTTCTAGCTTCAGCCTGACCTGTGGCGCACAAGATCACAATATGAGTATGACTTCAAACTATCTGAATTGGTTCTGTAATTCTGCCTGGAGCAGGTAAAACTTGAAGCCTGCTTTAGATGAGCTTTACCTCCACATCCTGGATAATAGTCAACTTTTTAAAGTTACATCATTTGGAAACATAATCTTCTCTCTGAAGTGTGGGGGAAGCGGTGGATAGGTTATCAAGTGTGATTACCTGTACTGCAATTCCAGAGACTTTTATTCCATGTTACTGGGCCTCATGTACTACCATCTTTGTCTAGGGCATGGGCAGGCTGAATGTGGCCTGATAAACTACCAGATGCACCTCATTGCCATTGTCCCATGGCCCAGCAGCAGTCTCAGACAGGCTCCATGCCTTCCACATCCCACACGCTGCTCAAAGTAGCCTGTTGTTGGGGCCATGTGCTCTGCACACCATGAGTCCCTGGGAGAGCTTCACATGCTGCTCCCAGCACAATCTACTGCTTCCAGCTACACATGCTGCTCCCAGCACAATCTCGCCGTTCCCATTGGCCAGTTTCTGGGTAACAGGAGCTATCTAGGCCTGCAAGCAGCATGCTATGTCTGCTCCTCCTCTCCCGCACAGGGACTCTCAGTGCACAGAGCATGTGGCCCCTGCAGATGTCCACTATGAACAACACAGGGACGTGGAGGGTAGGGAGCCTGCCTGGAGATCATAGAACACTAGAACTGGAAGAGACCTCGAGAGGTCATTGAGTCCAGTCCCCCACCCTCACGGCAGAACCCAGCACTGTCTAATCCATCCCTGATAGAGGTCTATCTAACCTGCTCTTAAATATCTCCAGAGATGGAGATTCCACAACCTCCCTATACAATTTATTCTATTGTTTAACCACCCTGACAGTTAGAAAGCTTTTCCTAATGTCCGATCTAAACCTCCCTTGCTTCTTGTCCTATCCTCAGAGGCCAGGAAGAACAATTTTTGTCTCTCCTCCTTATAACAATCTTTTAGGTACTTGAAGACTGCTATCATGTCCCCTCTCAGTCTTCTCTTTTCTAAACTAAAGCCCAATTCTTTCAGTCTTCCCTCATAGGTCATGTTCTCTAGACCATTAATCATTCTTGTTGCTCTTCTGTGGACCTTCTCCAGTCTCACCACACCTTTCTTGAAATGTGGTGTCCAGAACTGGACACAGTACTCCAACTGAGGCCTAATCAGCGCAGAGTAGAGCAGAAGAATAACTTATTGTGTCTTGTTCACAACACTCCTGTTAATGCATCCCAGAATCATGTTTGCCTTTTTTTGCAACAGTGTCACACTGTTGACTCATATTTAGCTTGTGGTCCACTATGACCCCTCGATCCCTTCCTGCAGTACTCCTTCCTAGACAGTCGTTTCCCATTCTATATGTGTGAATCTGATAGTTCCTTCCTAAGTGGAATACTTGGCATTTGTCCTTATTATACTTCCTGTTTACCTCAGACTATTTCTCCAGTTTGTCGAGATCATTTTGAATTATGACCCTATCCTCTAAAGCAGTTGCAACCCCTCCCAACTTGGTATCATCTGCAAACTTAATAAGCATACTCTATCATCATCATCATCATCATCTTTCATGCCCACTGGCGTATAGGGCAGCAACAGAAGGAAATCTTTGTTGCTATTTTCATAACAAAAGCTTTTTCTAGATCAGGGTTGTTAGCCCTGAGCCAAACCCCTAACCCTGGAGGACAAGCGTACTCTATGCCAATATCTAAATCATTGATGAAAATATTGAATGGTACTAGCCCCACAACAGACCCCTACAGAACCCCACTTGTTATGCCCTTCCAGCAGGATTATGAACTGTTAATAACTGCCCTCTGAGAATGGTTATCCAGCCAGTTATGCACGCACTTTATAGTAGCCCCATCTAAGTTGTATTTGCCTAGTTTATTGACAAGAACGTCATGTGAGACTGTATCAAATGCCTTTACTAAAGTCTAGGTATACCACATCCACCACTTTTCCCTTATCCACAAGACTCCTACCAAAGAAATCTATCAGATTGGTTAGACATGATTTGAGACTCTCAGCACTTTGGTCTTCTATGTCCATCTCCACCTCAATCCAAAAGTGTACATTTTTAACATATACGGCAACACCTCCTCCCAGTTTACCCTGCCTATCCTTTCTGAGTAAGCTGTACCCTGAGTAAGCTGTTGCAATTGTGTGTATTATCCCACCAAGCGTCTGATAACAACTATGTCATAGTTGTGTTTATTTATTAGGACTTCAAGTTGTTCCTGCTTATTACCCATACTTCTTGCATTTGTATATAGGCATCTAAGCTACTGATTTGATTTTGCCTCCCAGTTCTGCCAGTCCCTCCTTTTTCTCTGCTGTTATAGCCCATGATCCCTCCCATTTCTGACTCAACTCCCAGGTCTCCATATTTTTCACTTAACAGATCCTACTGGGCTGCTGATTGGGAGTCATCTAGATAAGCACCTCCTGGCCAGAGCCTGCATCTGGCACCCCAGGTCCTTCTTCTCTTGCACCTCTGCCTCAAGTTGTAACCCAGTCCTTCAGCACTCATCCCCCTTCTCAGACTCTGCACCCCAGTCCCCTCCCCTAGGTCACAACTTAAACCCCTGCATCTCCACCTCAGGCCACAACCCCCACCCTGTAGACCCTCCAACAGCCCTCTTCCAGGTCAGAATCCTCTCCTGCACCTGTACCCCCTTCTGTATCCAGTCCCCTCCTTCATCCAAACTCCTTCCCAAACCCCACACCATCTCCTGCACCTCAGTTCCTTACCCCAAGCTCCCTTCTGCACCCAACCTCCATCCCAGACCTGCACTTCCTCCATTAATATCATGGAAGAGTGTGGCCCTGGACCACTTATCAACTTCTTGAAGTGCCCCTCCATCAAAAATGATTTCGTACCGCTGGTCTAGGACAAGCACCAACTCTCTCTTCTACTCCTTCTCTTGGGCTCACACCTCCTGATCAGAGAAGTTCTAGGCTCTGCATCAATTCTCTCTATTGTAATTGTTCCAGATCACCTGCTCTTCTGCATTGTGTAAATGATCTGGATGGGATGTGGCTGCTTCTCTGTGCTCTGCCTTCTCATTCTACAGGCTGGATTTGCTATATCTCTCTAACAGATGGTCTACGTTGTACCTGCTGTCCTTACGCTGCTTGTTGGCCTTACCCCGTCAATTACAGGTATGATACTGACATTCTAAACTGTCAGAGCTTCACTACAAAGAAATTAGTTTTCATTTTTTGTCATGGTAGGATGCAAATCCAGGGCTATGTGGAAATGTGTTCAGCTGTCCAGCACTGCAGGTAGTGAGGGATCCATTCCAAGCAGTAATAACTGCTTTTCTGCTGTAGGCGGATGTCCTGGAAATGAATTTTAGTCCATTGTCTCTAAATTAATTCTCCACCCAGAAACATCCTTGTTACTGCACCCAAACTGCCACAGTCTGGGTCTCATACAGAATGATCATTTATTGGGCTGACCAGGAGACTGCCAGTTGGAAACTTCCATGGTCTAAGGCGCTGCCATTCGTATTGGCAAGTCACTGAACTTCTTTCTGTTTCCTTGTCTGTAAAATTGTGATGATTCTTACCTGTCTCCAAGAAGGGCTATGTGTGAATGTTTGTACAATGTTCTGAAGAGATAAAAGCATTAACTACCCACTGTGATTTACCAAACAAGTGCACATATAGCAGGGTAGTATTCTTATAATATGGCTTGGTAAGGAGTTCTAGAATTGTATAGTCAACGCGGAATATTATTTTCTGGCAGAGACTGATGAGGCTGTATCTACAAGGACCCTCTCAGGCCAAATTTGGCCCAGAAAATAAAAGTAAGATTTATACAACTGAAGCTCAATATAAGTGTTTCCTGTTTTTTTTTATCTCATTGGAAAGAATTTTGAAAAATTATTTTCTGTATGCTAAATAACCATGTACGTTGAATGAGTTTTATTGCGGATTAAGGAAAATACAGACAAACAACAAAGTAAAGTCTCCATGAAAGAGCACAATGTCTCTTCTATAACATGTTGCATCTGCCTCCCAAAATGATGCCTGTATTAAATACAAGTGTAACAGTCCCACCTTGTAAAGAAACCTGGCTCTGTAGCATTTGCAACCTCAACATCGGAGCATTTTGCTAGTGCATGAGAGCCTGCAAGAGAAACTGAAAGTCTATTTTCAATGCCCAAATTGAGATAAATGCTGAAAGTAAAGAAATAAGAATGTTGGAAAGGAAAATACCTTTTCCACATTCCTTTGGTTTAGAAAGCCTAACGTTTATTTTCAGCATACTTGCATATTTTAAGGACATTTGTTTTTCCTAATTATGTTTGTCTTGATTGTGCCAAATGAATAAGAAGCATTTCATGTCAGGACTGTGAAAGGCCATGAGCTGCCAGCAGTTCAACAGAGCCATCAGACTTCTATGTAAATCTTTTGCAAAGTTAAAAACACATACAACATAGGTCTCTTGTATACTGGAAGACTGCAATGGTCAGCTCTTGCCTGGAGCTCTCCATCCATTGGAAGGTTCTGCCCCCGAAGAGACTTTGTTTGTTAAGCCTTCCGGTTTTCTACTTCCTGACTTGTCATTATGGAGGTCAGTCAGAGCATCATTTGTCATTCACTCACCTCTGCCTCCCTTAGCTCTCCAGCATGGACCAGTAAGCCACAGAAGCCTGTGTATGGGCCCTTTCTAACCTATCCTGGAATATTTTGCCATGCTTGTGGCAAGGTCTCCCCTTGCCCTAGAATTCTGAGGAGCACCCAGATCTCTCTGCCAAGATCCTGAGCGTGGGCAGCGGGTGCGTGGCAGTCATGTTTCTTGCTATGTAGTCTTTCATTTGTAATGCTCCATGTCCTTTTCTGAAGTCACTGAACAGTGGAGCTTGCTTTTGTTTCCTAGGGAGGATCTGTGATAGTCTCCATAGCAGTGGAGCCACCAAGGAGTTAGATTCCTGGGAAAGAGAATCTGAAATCAACCCAGAGCTTGTGTTTGTCAATAGTATTTCTAGACCAGCTTTCCTTCATCATTTCAGACATTTGGATACTTAAAAGAGAAAGTCCTGCTTAGTGTTGCAGCAAACACTCCTGCATCTCTCCTTCCTAGTGCATGTGTATTAGTGGAAGAGTACATTTTCACGCAGCCTCTTTTACAGGCTGGAAGACTTAGCATGTGCTCCATGGAGCATGTTCTTACACATTTAGTAGCTCCGGTCTGTTCTTCCCCAGATAACGTCATCTGGAGGAGCCTGTCGGATCTGCATTCAGCTGCTTGTTTACTTGGGACCATTGCACTGGGGTACTCTTTGTTCACTTATGCAAAAAGTAACATCTTGCATGAAGAGGAAGGAAGGTGAGTAATTAATCTGTTCTGTGCTAACCCTCAAAGCCTGCGCATGAAGCAGAAAGTCCTCTGGCAGCTCAGCTGTCGTGGAGGAAGTCAGGCTAATAAGCAACTCGCCCAAGGCATTGCTAGTCCAGCAATATGTTGGACAAACAGTTGACAAAGGAGCCAGTGAGCACAAGTGGTAAATTGGCAGAATCCCCTATTTTCTTTGCTTGGGTCAGTCACAGATGGGGTTAGGGTCAGTTCTAGGACTCAAAACTCCCCAAATGGGCACTGCGTCCTTTGGAAGTCCCCTGTGTTCTGACTCCAGAGGTAGGAATTGGGTACGTTTCCACTATTGCATTCAAGGCAGATTGATGTAAATAAAGTGATTTAAATAATCCATTTTAATACACTTTTCCATTTGCATTTCAGTTATTTTCTGAAGAAAGGTGTACTCTCATTGGTCAATATAAACATTACAACATGTTGATTTACAACTAAGTAGAACTTTTACACAAGATTTGGTACAACTAAGTAGAACTTTTACACAAGATTTGGTACATCTTTTTGCCATCTCAGTGTACACTATGATTAATATACATCTATGTAAATAATTATAGCTTAATATTTTTCAAATTCTTAATAACCATACCTTTTAGTATGTCAGCAGATGGCAAATTATATATTTCTTATTTATTTAACTTTTTGTTTATGATTTGCCTAACTTCATTAGGATGGTAACTGGAATTTAATTACACACACACGGCAGCATGTAACATTTAAAGATATTAAAACAAACTTTAATATTTTGGAAACTTCCCTTAGCAAAACGTTTCACATTTACAACTAAATTATTTATTCAACAAACAAATTGACCGGTCAGTGAATTAAACAGATTATTTCAGGAAAGTTTTCAAATATGCCTATGTAAAAGTGACAGGATTTTAAATTCCTAATTTCTCTGAAGTGTTTTGAAAATTAGACAGTCTCCTAACTTTCTAGGCTGAATTTCTTGGGCCGTATTTATAAAGCTTGATCTCAAAAGTTAAAGTTGTGGTAAAACATTTTTCTCTATGTAGAAAAGCAGCCATAGACTCATAGATTCAGTGTGTAGATATTGTTTGTTTATATGTTCGAATGAGAATGTTTAGGCTTTAACATATTTTTGTATTCAATTTAGATTTCAATCTAAACTGGTTTATTTTTAATAAGAAAAACTTATAATTTAAATAAAATAGAAAACTTTTTTCCAAAAAAAATCATCAATTGTTATTAGGGATATGAAAGTGTAAACGTGTACACGGTTACATGTAGCCTCCCTCTGTCCCTCCCCACCTCTCAGTACTGCTGCCTCTGTATCAGAGGTAGCAGTGTGGGGGGCAGGCAGGAGCTGGTATGGGTAGAGAACCAGTTTTTAAGCCAACTCCCCACACATACTAGCTCCTGTGGAACCACTCTGATTCAGCTCCCTCCCCTCTGACACAAAGTACAGAGGCAGCAGTGCGGGGCTGGGGGAGATAGGTGGGAGCTGGTACACATGAGGCGCCATTTTTAAGATGGCCCCCCACATGCACTGGCTCCCAGAGAGCCACCTCCTCTTCCTTGCACGTAAATTTAACCACAGAAAATATCAGCGGTTATACATTTACCTAAATAAATGCATTTTAACATCTCTAATTGTTATCCCCTTACTTTTGTTTGGATGTACCTGTTTGTCTGGGCTGGGATGCTGTCCAGCTCCTGGAAACGCTGCTGCCAAACCTGGGGGAAAAGAGGTTGAAAGTGATGGAGGAAAAGTGCCACTAGGCAAAAATTCAGGGAGTCCTTTGAGTAAGCCAGGTGCTTGCTTGTGTACAAAGTAAAAGTGATGCTATCTTATGCTACTGTTTAAATGCACAGTGGGCACCATCATGTGTATCTTATAGGATTATCTGTATTTCTGTAAAAAATGTAGTCCAATGTTCATGGTGTAAGCTTATTCATATTCAGCTATCCTATCGTTTTATTTAGTATTAAAAGGTAGGAGTGTAATGGAAAACAAAAGCAGAAATCTTTGTGGATTGTGTAGGCTGGTTGTGTGTGTATGTGGAATTAGGGGTATGAATTCCATTCTGATTTGTCAGTTCAGATCCTAATTTAATAGTAAATCTAATTCCTCTAAGGGGGATGCATGCACACTTACCGTTTCCTTTTGCAGAGAGTTTGTCCTTGTGTAAGCAAATGCTTGTGCAATTGTACATTGATTTTTTTTTTCTTATTTTATATAGGGAGTTGTTTGGGCTGGTGATTATTGCTGTATGGATGCGTCTTTGCCGCAATTCAGCAAAGTAAGTCTTTAATCCATTTGTATACTTATGGTTAATGCTAATAAAAGGGTCTATAAGCTACTGGGCTGGCTGCAGCTAGCTGTTTCCCTATCCGTAGGTGATTCTGGCTTTGTGCTGCCTTGTTGCATATTACTGTCTAAATCCTGCTCAGAAGTGGGCACAGCGCCATGCTCAGAACTTGTTGGGTTTCTGGAAGGACAAGGTCTGATGGTCATTTGCAGTGTAAAGGAAAAGGGAAGAAGGATGAGGTGAGCCCTGTCCACAGGATAACTTCCTGCCCCTGCAGAGTCTGAAGTTGGGGATGTTTCTTCACATCTTCTTTTATCTCATATATATGAATGAAACAGTGTCCCAGTTGATGCAGGCAGTAACTGCAAAAACTTAAGTAGCAAAAGTGTTCCCATTAGAACTCTGTTTACATGTTCTCAGAACTTTCTGAGAAGTGAACTTGAGCTGAAATGTACTGCGGGTTTTTTATTTCCAAGGTGTGTTGTTGGGTTTTTTTCTGTTTAAAAATGATTACATGTTGTCCTGCTGCTGTTGTATGAAGATTTAAAAATGTTCAATATCCTGACCACCAGCTTTTCCACATATGCGATTCAAAAACAGATAAATAATAACAACTCAGTAAGCCTTATGTGACTGTGTGAATGCTTGGATGAGCAGAGATGACTCTCATGAGCAAGACTCTTCAATGCTGGCCCCACTAGCACTGTGAGCTAGGGCTATTCCATTAGGGCTAAAGAGCAAAGATCCAGGGACCTGAAGAGATTCTGTCTTTGGTGAGCAGCATCTTCAATAACAGGCACTGCAAGGAACCATTTTTGTAATAAGCCAAGAGCCAGTATTTAAAGGAAACTGGCAATAGTGATTATCTATCATCTTAATTTGTATAGAAAAGGGTTAAATGTGTGTGTTATTCCATAAGTTTTTCTGGTGAGTTAAAATAAAATCCAGACCCAGCATAAATATGATCTCTAGGTACACCACAAAATCTCAGTGCAGTTCCACAAATCAAGGAAGGCCAGGACCTAGCACAGTAAGGGGGTGCAAAGAGTCTGCTTGCTGTTAAGGAGCACCATCAGATCTCAACTTAAGGACTAAAAAATATCCTTATTTCAAAAAGCACAAAAATACACTTAACTGCCTTTGTTCCTGGTATAGTCACTTCTCCATCAGTAAAGAGGCAGCAATGGAGGTGCAGCCTGAGTTTGCCTCATTTACACCAGGTCACTAAGAATTATACTTTGGTATGTGCCTAATGAAAATAGAACCTGGGGAATGTGCATATGGAAGCTGAAAAGCCCTATTCTCAAACTGCAGATCTGGGAAAATCTGCTGCTTGAATCCCTGGCTGTCTCCCATTTGTCCGTTGGTTGAAATTGCAGCCTTTCTTCCTTCCAGTGCCTGACGCTGCCTGGATTCTTACTGGCTGAATAATGGCCTGCTCTGTTCTCTTGTCCCAATAAAGAGCAGGGTTTGGGGGCAGGCGCAAAAGTTTCAGAGAAGCCACCTGCAGCAGTAGCTGGCAGGGAGATTTTGTGGTATGCTGACTGCAGCTCATTAGCACTGCTTGTTTCCAGGCTCCCCAGTCTGATAATGAGTCTTACCCTGAGCCAAGGCACCGCTGTTGCTAGCTGGGTTTGGTCTGAAATAACACCACCATTGTGTTTTGTTCTTTCTAGAAATCCCATGGGTGGAATGTGTCTGATGGGTGCAGTTACTCTCTCTTTCTTCCCCTTTGTATCCTGGCTGTACATTTATATGAACTCAGAGATGCGATCATCCTGGCCAACTCACTGCAAGACTGTGATTTAACCAGGCAGGACCAAACACACACAATAAATATTCTATTTTCAAGCTATTTGTCTTTGGATTTTGGTTCTTAGTTGACAACTGGTGTTGGATTGGCAGAAACTGCAGCTATGAACCAAGAACATCACCCTGCCCCTATTTCCTGTATTTTCCTGCCCTGCCACCAGCCTGTTTCAAGTCCGTTCCCAAGTCTCTATTGCCCCCTTGCCCACCCACTTGCATGTACACCTCTGCACCTACCCTCAGCATTTGTAGCCCTTCCTGTTCCCCCCCCCCAATGCACTGCACTCCCCCATGATATTGAAGTTCCTCCCCTTCCCAGTGCAGCTGGAGGAGTCAGTATACCTATGCACCAGTGATTGTGTCTCCCCATACCTCCCTATTGGCACGCTTCTCCCCTGCCCACAGCCTAGCAGGGACCAGTAGTTGGCCTTTGCCTGCTCTTCCACTTCCCAGTCTCTCTTCCCTCTAGTGTTTCTTCCCTGCCCCTCCAGAACATGGCAAAGGAGACCATAGGTGGGACTTGCTCTCACCCTGTGGCCACCCCTCAGCCAACACATCTGTCTCTCCCTGTGGTTATCCTGTTGACCACTGGTCTAGACTCTATTGCTGCTGTGGCCACTGACCCCTCGGTTTGGGGAGCCCCCTCTGCCAGGGGAAGGAAAGGTAAGCACTCCGCCTGGGGAAACATGCAGGTATTTTATTATGGTGATGATTCCTAGCTTTCTCATTTCTGTATAGCTCCCCTTTTTGAAGTTAGATGTCGCTGTGGTGGGTTGTTTCAGTATATTCCCCCACAAGGATGTTGCATTTCATTACATTGTGGTTGCGATTATATTCATGTCTTGGAGCAGCTCATTACTCCATTTAGGACTTACTGTAGATTCCTCCTTCCCTGATGGTGTGACTCAGGATTTCCTTGGGGAAATTCTTGTGGGCATGGTTGCTCCTCAGCCCAGCTAGCCCCTCCTGTAGCTCTCCCACCCACTTCCTGAGACATTCCACCAGCAGGCATCTTTCACATTGGATGGTTGCCCCAGCCTGATTTTCTGAGTGGGAAATGCAGACATAATCTCTGCAATGGGCTTACCTTGCAGCAAGGGAGGTTTAGGTTGGACATTAGGAAAACCTTCCTTCCTGTCAGGGTGGTTAAACACTGAAATAAATTGCCCAGGGGGGTTGTAGAATCTCCATCACTGGAGATACTTAAGAGCCTGTTACAATTACATCTATCAGGGATGATCTAGGCCAGTGGTTCCCAAACTTTCTGGCATCACGCCCCCTTTTTGATTTCTGAAAAACCCTCACGTCCCCCCCTCATCCCCATAGCAGCAAAACTCGAGCAAAGGAAAAAAGAAATGAATGGGGCAGCAAAACTTGATGGGGAATGGGGGGAGGTTGGGTCGCCTCACGCCCCCCCCTGGAATTTCTGCATGCCCCCCAGTTTGTGAACCCATTATCTAGATGGTGCTTGGTCCTGCCATGAGGGCAGAGGACTGGATTGGTAGAAGCATCCATGGTCAGGTTGTCGGGATACAGACACAGGTGGAGGAGACAAGTGTTGGTACTGGCAGCACTTCCTAATCATAGTAGCAATATTTGGACTCCTTACACACTCCCCCGATTGCAGTCCAGTGGTTCCTTAGCCTCTGGCTTTTAAGGCCTTCTCTCCTTGGTCAACCCTACCCCTCATTAACCATACAAAAGGAGGTGATCATAAGGCTGATCAAAGACAATCATGGGAACAAAGGCTCCACCAGTCCCCAGACACACAATCCCAACTGAAACAGTAACTGAAATAACCTGAAAAAGAAAAACACAAGCAGGCAAGCTAGTGTTTTGCTAGTATTATTACATATCTTTTAATGTCATTTGAGCCACAATAAATAACCAATTGTTCATTCTTAACTGTTTCAAGCAGAAGTTGTCCAACTCAAGTTGCATTTATTTCAGGTAGACTTGTTGGCAATCCCTTCTCTGCCCTACAGCAGGAAGCTAGATCTTGTTTCTTGCTTCTTGCAGAAGCTTTTAAGACACCAGCTCTGAAGGAAAAGGTGGGCAGTTGAGTCTCTATCAGACTTCAGCCTGTAAGTGTCATTGTGCAAACTTTCTATAAAAGAAGCTAATTTCTAGAGCACTGTTTGTATCACACACAATTATATTCACTACTGTCCTACTGTTTTGTGTAATACATTATTTTGTCTGGAATTCTACCTCTTCCCGTTAGTACCAGTTTATCATTATAGACATATATTGTTCCAAAGGCATGGCTCGCTGGTGGGGTTTCAATAATCCCTTCCAGAGTAAGATGATGAACTCCATGAGAATCTAAATAATAACCACCATCATGAAGGTGCCCTGCGAGAAAGCATACCACACACTTATGAGAATGGATGATGGAAAGGGCATCTTTATAATTCCAAGCAAGGCAAGTACTCTCTGTAGAACCTGGATGAATGGGAATATGACCTGCAGTTGGAAAAAAAAATAATGGTAAGAGAAATCACTAGTGACAACCATAGTTCAGAGTGTTTTATATCATCTCTTCATTTGGAAATTGATTCTGGAACCTTAGGGGCTTGGGATGTAGTGAAACCCCAGGAATTTCTCTTTAAGTTTCGGGGTTTGCACATAAGTTGTCCAGCCCTATGGAATGACAAGAATGCAGTCTCAGGTATTTTTAAGGTATCTGGATACTGAATCCCAGCTGAGTTATGCTCACTGACATTCACAAGATCACTGCCTTGGGTCATCAAATCTAAAGTTGTGCACTGAGGCTATTTCTACACTACAAATTACACTGGGGTAACTTACACTGATCACAGCTGTGAATTATTCACACCTCTGAGTAACATGAATTATACTGCCATAACACCAGTGTAGACAGCACTGTCGGCAGGAGAGCTTCTCACACTAACATAGCTACGGCTTCTGACTGGTCAGGAGCTTTTAAGCTGTAAAGCATCTTCACGGCCGTAAAGCTGCAGTGTAGATGTAGCCCAAACAACATAATGCCAGTCCCCAGAGGGGCCTACAGCACTCAGTGCTGGAAAAACGTTCTGATTTACATCTCTTTTCACAATTCTCATGTAGTGTAAAAGAATCTCATCGCCCTTTACTAGGTGCAGTCATGCTGTTCCAAGCTGTAAAGCGGTTGCTAGTGTCAGGGTAGGAGTCCAGTTATGAACGGTCCTCACTGAGTGCACCTGTTCTTGCTGTGCAGCCAGCTTGGTTGAACATAAGAACAGCCATGCAGCATCAGACCAAAGATCCTTCTAGCCCAGTGTCCTGTCTTCCAACAGTGGCCAGTTCCCGGTGCCCCAGAGGGAGTGAACAGAACAGGAAATCATCAAGCGATCTGTCTCCTGTCATCCATTTCCAGCCCTGACAAACAGACTACCATTCCTACCCATTCTGGCTAATACCCACTATGCTGGTCTGGTTGCCATGTCCTTGCTCTGTCTGTGTAGTTGGCTTGGCACACAGCTCAGTTCCATGGTTCTTTTGAGGTGCCAACTAAAGCCCAGGGAGAGGAAGAGATCTCCCACTGAGGCTACAGCTGTTCCATAGCACCTTTCATTGCCCTGGGCATTTGGCTCCCAAGAATAACATCCCTGCCACTTGGATCAAGGAGTTCCAGGATCCAGATACCCTATAATACAAGAGTTTTCCTTTCCCAAATCTCCAACAGTCCTCCTCCCCCCGCAAATGCCAGCATCACTGCTCCCCTAACAAAGCAATTTCCATACCCTGTGGTAGCCTACTGCCACTGAGTTAGAATGCTCTCAAATCTGCAGGCCCCTTTCTTGCCCTTGTCCAGCACCATCCCCTCCTGTTGTGTGAAGGGTAGTGTTTGTGTAAGTTGTGCGCTTGTGCAGCCACTCAGGAGAAATTCGAATGCCACCAACCAGGTTAGCAGAGTGCCCACAGCTAGTTTTTTTGGTTTCTACTGGTGATACACATTCACACATGCCTCGGTTCTCAAAATTTATTCTATACATGGAAAAAATCTGCACATGGGTGGAAAAGATTAAAGGGAACATTGGTGAGGGGAAACCTGAATGACATATAAGATATCAGTAGGAAATCTTATGAGTGAGGAAAATGTGAATACCATTCTGGAGTACATGCAGCATCCCATCAGTCTATCACTGGTTTATTCCTTCACAGATGTTACAATTCACATACACCAAAAAGCAGACCTACCTACAACCACAACTTTCTCTTGATTTGTGTCACAGAATGTAAGAACCTCATCAAACCAATCCAGCTGTGTTTGGCTAAATCCTCCATTGAACTCTACAAACTGTGGCTCAGCAAGTCCTGAAATAAAGAAAGGGGGTCAAGCACACACACCAAATAGCTGCTTCCAACCTACATTGGTTTTCTCTGCACATCTGAACTTAGGATAAACAGTGTCTTTTCTCCTGACAAGCTCTTATGTATCTTATGCCTCCAAAAATTCAGAGCCTTCCTGAATGAATGCAGGAAAGTGATTTTGCTTTGACAATGCCACACATGAGGGATTCCCGTTCTTGCATCAAAACTACCTAGCAGCACAGAGGTCGGAACTTTGAGTGGCTTTGAGTTGGCAGTTGGACATGAGTCCTGACGTGTGCTGAATTCCAGTCTGGTATCCTCAACAAGACAGAAGCAAGGGATCCTCTAAAATGCAAAGGAAACAAAAGCATGAGTGTGAATTTTTCAAAAAACAATGGACATCTCCTTGATCAAAATAACTGTAAGGTATGACAGCAAGGCATCCCTTAGAACATTTGCTAAACTAGGGAAGATAAGGGTGAGTCTGGTGTGATACACTCAAAGCAGCAGCATTAGTGGTCAGTAATTTGCCCACCTTTAAAGATGCATTACACAAAAGTTCAGATGCACCATGTTATGGATATGTGTGCACACCATAACTGTATCAACTAGCATACCTTAGAAATGCAATTATGATGCAGATGGTGCCTCCATTCCTAGTTCTTGAATTACAGACCTTATGAAACTGACTTATTGTCAGAGAAGTTAATTGTGAATAAGGCATCCAGAGATGAGTTATACATCAGTTGAGGTGACTGCACCAGCATCTCCTACAAATTTGGTAAACAGAGTCCATACAACACTTATTTTGAGAACATGGGAATAGGTAGGTATTACTGTACTCTGGGGGAGAGATGTTGTCATGGAATAAGTCACTAAATCCTTTGGTTATGTCTACACTATAGTGGCTCAGTTACAGTGCTGCACCTATGCTGCTGTAATGCTGCAGTGACAATTCTCCAACACTAGATAATCCGCCTTTCTGCAGTGGAAGAATTTTCAACTTTCTGAGCAACGTAGAAATTAATTAATTTTCAAGAGTAGTCTAAGGCCTTGTCAACACCAAGGGTACATCTACACCGCAACATTACTTTGAAATAACTAGCGTTATTTCAAAATAATGTCAAGTTGGAGGACTTCTTACTCCGATTCCGGTAACTCTCCTTGTACGAGGAGTAAGGTAAATTGGAGGAAGAGTGCTCTATTTCGAAGTAAGTGTTGTGTAGGTGCTCCCAATTTCAAAATAAGCCATGCAATTGATATAGCTCAATTTGCGTAGCTTATTTCGAGTTAAGCCCTGCTGTGTAAATGCAACCCAAGTCTGCTGCTCTCTAAGGCTATGTCTAGACTGCAGAGCTTTTCCGGGATACCAGAAGTATCCCGGAAAAGCTCTGCCGTATCCAAGGAACATGTCCGCTTTTCCAAAAAAAAGTCAGAAAAACGGACACGATTTTTCAGCAGCCCTGTAAACCTCATTTCATGAAGAAGAAGGGATGTTCCAAAAGAGGTGTTTTTTTCCAAAATTTGGTCCTGTGTAGATGGGCCAAATTTTGGAAAAGCCTCTTTCAAAAGTAAATCAGAAAAAGATACACAATTTGCATATCGCAAATTTTCTTTTTCTGATTTTTCTTTGTAGTATAGACATAGCCTGAGACTGCTGTTTAAGTTGGCACATTAGAGAAATGTCCCTCTTCCAGTGCCCAATAGATGAGCCCACTTCAAGGAAATTCAACTTATTTGGAGGTGCTGGAACAGACATCAATGAGCTAGACCTTTGGGGAAAGTGCAAGGGCGCCAGAATGTTAGTGGCCTACAGTGCTAAGGTATCTGGTCTTGGGAAAAGGTGTGTCTGTCTCTGACTGACTAAAAAAAGGTCAGGGTACAGTTGCTTCAATGTCTGGCTTGTAGGAAACCTCAGAACAGGTAACATTTCAGTACTGAGATCTAGCTGGCAGATAGCTCCTGAGCTCTGTCTGACTTAGGTCCTGTAAGCAGGCCCATCTCTACTACTCCCCACCAAAAAGTTCCCTGGAACAGACTGGCCTACAGTTGAAGAAGCAGGGCTAACCAAGCCGATGGAGCCACAAAGCCCAGTCCTGGATTGCTAAATTCACCAGTGAACTGTGCTCCCAAAGCTCTATTTGAATGTAGATTTGTAAACTATACACATCTATATTATTTCATTCTACCTTGGAAGGCAGCACCTCTAAAGTATATAAATGGGGTAATTCCAAAAACATTACATTAGGCTTGCAGTCTCTGCACTGGCCTAGAAAGTTTCATAGTGTAACCAAACAAGGCATTAAGGTGGAGCATAATAATTCCACCTTCACACTTATCAAGGTGTGCCCCCAAAACCCCTTTGTGGCCTTGTATGTTAATGCTGATGACCCCCTGAGAGTAACTGATGGAGAAGCCCCACAGAAGACTTTGCCATCAGGGAAAATATTGTGGAGGTGCCTAAAATAAGATTGTTTTAAGGAGCACCAGAACATTCTTAAAGGGAAAAAATCTGGTATACAGTTTGAGAGAGGCTCTTTTCTATTTAATAAAAACCTAGCTGAGAAAGATGGCACAGAACTTGAAGCAAGTATTTCTGCCTAATGTCCAGTGCACAGGACAAAATAATCTAAGAGCTAAAAAAGTTCTAACTTTCTTTACACTAAAAAATTGAGGTCCCAGAGTGGAAATTATGGGGAAAGAATGTATTTCACCCTGTTGTCTGTATGATCAAGATCAATGATGCTCACACTGATTTACTATCTAGTTACATATCTTACATTAATTATAAGTCTTCTGGCTATGAAGAGCAATACTATGGAAAGAAGAAGTTTGGGAATGCATGTTAGCCATTCCAAGGCAGTGCAATACCTATGGGACTATTCAGATTCTCGTTGGGGTTTTTCTCCTTCAGCAGCTTCAAAGAATCCTGGTATTTCTGGGTGGACTTGTCCCTCCCAAGCGTACTTAAGTCGTAAGAATCCAGCAGAACGAAGCGCAGCTGCGGGGCCGGGCTGAAGTGATACGCGTAGTACTGCTCCGGGCCCTGGCCCGTGGCGGCGGCGCCCAGGGCCTGGCTGTTGAGCCGCGAGCGCGCCAGGTAGTCCCGGGGGAAGTTGTACAGCTCGTGGTTGCCCCAGGCGTGGTGCACGGGCGCGCGGAG